CATTTTCCCTCTTCTTTTTTTTTTTTTTTAAGTTTGCTCTAGGGTGCATGCACTTGGAAGGGGGAGAGAAGGATAGTAGCAGATAGACAGAGGGAAATCGAGATGTCACACCCAGTGGGGATGGCATGTGTCCATTCTCTTGTTGGGGTTTTGGGCACGCATGCTCACGCTCCTGGCATTTTGCAGGCCACTGGCTCTGGGATTCAGACTGCACAGCCAGCCACGTGCGATCTAGTCTCCTTAACCACTGTGTCACCTGGCGGACCCTCCGTTTTGTCTCTTGAGCAAACTCCTCCAATCCGAAATATTTCTTAGTTTTTATTTGTTTTTCACAACTTTGACAATTTAGGAGAATATTATTGTAGGCCATTTATTTTGTAAAATGGCCCACAATTTGGATTTGTCTTTTTATTCATGATCAAAATGCAGATTACTCATTTTTGGCAGAGTATCAGTGAGGTAATGTGTCTGCAGTGCATCACGCGGAAGACAGATCCTGTTGGTTTATCTCAGTGATAAGTTTGGTCACTTGGTTGAGGTGGTATTGGCTTTAACCAATTCTTTTCCTTTTATACTATGGATTCATAGGTTCTTACTGTATTCAGTGGGTTATAAATTTTTTTAATAATTTTTTCTTGTTTTTTTCTTTTTTAAGAATTATTTAACTTTATTTATTTATTTATTTTAATTTGAGCAAAGAGTTGCGGGGAGAGAGTGAGAAAACAAGCCACCAGGTCTAGGACTTGAACTGCGATTGGCCATGTGCGAGTCCAGCACCCTAAATACCATGCCGCCTGCCAGCCCGCAGTGGGTTATAATTTATTGTTTCGCTATTATTTTAAAGCTCAAATTGTGCCAAATTTAGCAAATGAGAGCCCCTTCAAGCTGGCCTCTTTTTCTTCTTGTTAGGTTCCATCTTTTTCTATCACTTTATTTTCTTACTCAGTATTCTTAGCTTCCTTTTAATAAACTATTTATCACTTAACTGTATCTTTATTTAACTGTTATCTGTTCTTATTTTTAATTTGCCCAGAGTGTGACAGGGAGCTAGAACCTTATTACTTTTATTTATTTATTAATTTTGTTAGTTTCTCTTACTAGAAAGAGAAAGACAAGCATTTCCTAGCAGGTTCTTATGCCAGTCACCCTCAGTAGAGCCAGGAAACAAATCCTGATCTTCCTATGGCTTCCAGCATTTTAGAGCTACCACTGTACCACTGTGAGTGAGGCCATGTTATCTCTGAAGTAGCAAGTTCTATGTCAGCCCCCCATTTTAGTGATTCTGGGGATCAGCAGGTGGCATGTTGGTTAAAGTGCTGGACACTCCCACATGGCCAACCATGGTTTAAGTCTCGAACCTGGTGGCTTGCTTTCTCATTTTCCCTCTCTCTCTGTGTCTCTCTCTGGTCAAATTAAAATAAATGAATGAATAAATAAAATTAAATAATTCTTAAAATTACAGTTATTCTACTTTTCTTTTGGTTTTCTGAGACTTAAAAAGTCTTTATCAACTAAATTATTTTGAGTAGCAGTATATTTTTGAAATTTTCTCATAAAATGAATGAATGAATAAATAAAAATGAAATAAATTTTAAAAAAAGAAATATTGGGACCAGCAGTTAGCGTAATGGCTATGTCGCTGGACTCCCACGTAGTTGACAGTGGTTTGATCCCAGACCCGGTGGCTTAAACTCACGCCGGGCGCGTGTGCATGCATGCCCAAGATCCCAAGAGGAGAAAGGAGAAGAAGGGATTGCGGAGTGGCCGTCCCTGGGGGGTGATTTCTCACTTCCTATCTCTATGTCTCTCTCTTTCTGGTGAGCACATGCGCCCTATAGCAAACCCCCCCCACACAAAGAAAAAGAAATATTTAATCATCGGGGCCACCTGGCTGTGCCATTCAAGTCCTGGGCCTAGTGGGACACTCAGTTGTGTGTGTGTGTGTCCCCATGCCCAAGATAATGGAGGAGAAAGGATTGTGGCATGGTCATCCCCCCCGCCCAGGCAGTGATTTCTTACCCTTTCCACTCCTGTATCTGATGAGCACACGAGCCTTATAGCAAACTATTAAAAAAAAAAATGGACTGAATGGCTAAATAAATAGGGGAGAGGAGATAAATTTTTTTAATGAATTATTTTATTGAGCTATATTTATTTTAATTTGACCAGCGAGGGACAGTGAGAGACAAAGTGAGAAAGCAAGCCACCAGGTCCGGGATGTGAACCACGTTCGGCCATGTGGGAGTCCAGCGCCGTTTACCACCATGCCACCTGCCAGTTCTGAGAGGGGATAAATCTTTATGGAGGATATTTTTTTAAATTACTTAATTCTATTTATTATTTTTAAAATAATTTTATTTATTAGTTTATTATTATGATGATTATATTTTTTAGTTTAGTTTATTGTTGTTGTTATTATATTTTTAGACCAGAAAGAAAGTGAGAGAGAAAGCAAGCCACCAGATCCGGGACTCAAAATCATGTTGGAGCCCAGTGCCTTAACCACCATGCCAGATGCCAACTCCTATTATTATTTCTTTTCATTTGACGAGAGAGACAGCAAGTGTGGGTGGGGTGTGAGGAAGGAAGCTGCCAGGGACTCAACCGTAATAATTACTAGATTAAGACAGGGTGATTGGGACCAGCAGTTAGCGTAATTGCTGTGTCACTGGACTCCCATGTAGTTGTCCATGGTTCGAGTCCCAGACCCAATGGCTTAAACTCACGCCAGGCGTGTGTGCGTGCATGCCCATGACACTGAGAGGAGAATGGAGGAGGAGGGATTGGTGGCGTGGCCATCCCCCCTGGGGGGTCATTTCTTGCTTTCTGTCTCTCTGTCTGGTGAGTGCATGCGCCCTATGGCAAAAACCTCTCCTAAAAAAAAAAAAAAAGATGGAGTGATTATAGGTCTTGTATGTTTTCCCAAACTTATTGTAACTACTTTTATACTTTAAGAGAAAACAAAGTATTAAATCCTTTAGAATAGCAGTGTTTAACATCATGGCATCTATAAACATGAGCTATTTTATCAGTATTGAAAAGTAGTTGGTACTAGGTTTGTACGGCAGATGGCATGGTGGGTAAGGGTGCTGGACTCCACATGGCTGACTGTGGTTCAAGTGCCAGACCTGAAAAC